GAATCTCAAATTAGGAACATGATTTTGATAGAAAGGGTGATATAATCAAATTTGTGGAGCATGGAAGAAATTACCTGTCACTCCTATAGTTAGAGGAAAAGTTATGACCAAAAAAAGAGGCAGATTCATGGAGAGAAAATGGATAATTTTGATTACATAAATTTAAAAAAATTTTGTACAAACAAAACCAGTGAAGCTAAAAGTATAAGAAAAGCTGGGAAATGAGGGGAAATCTTTGTAGCAAATTTTTTTGATAAAGGTCACATTTTTCAAATATATGGGGAACCGAGCCAAATCTAAAAGAATAAGAGCCATTCCCTGATTGACAAATGATCATGGGATATGAATAGGCATTTTTTCAGAGGAAGAAATTAAAATTGTCAATAATCATGTGAAAAAAATGCTCTGAATACTAACAATTGTTGTTCAGTTGTGTCTGAAATTTGTGACCCCATAGACCATACTGTCCATGGGGTTTTCTCGGCAAAGATGCTGGAATAGTTTACTATTTCTTTCTCCAGTGAATTAATTCTAAAGGTCTATGGGGTATTCAAGGAGGACTAGCTCTTCTTGTGTGAGGGCTTTCTAAACCCTTTTTTTAGGGAAGCTCATCCATCTTCAGTGTTCACTTACTACCCAACCCTCACCTGTGGCTCCAAGAAACTGTAGCATGTGCAGCAGCCATACTCTGGTAAAATTGTCTTAGCAGATAGGCAAACCATGTTGAGGGTTACTGACCAGGCCTCAAACCAGTGGTGAGTTAGAAGGAGGTCTGCTTCAAACATGTAAAGACTTCCTGCTGAGGAATGGTTATATAAGAATAGTTTGTTCTAATGGCCGTAAAGGCATCTGAAACAGGTACTATGGAGCACTTCGAACTTGATCAGACACCGAAGGTGCCAAGGTCATCCACTGCACTCTGGGCCATCTCCAGTCATCTTTCCTTTTGTCTTGCCACTAAGCTTCAGTGACTCTGGAAGAGAGTGAGGCTGATGACTTGTGCAACTCTGCCCCACTTAAATACAGTTCACGTGCAAATCAAGATATCGCCCACTTGGTGTCATTGGTCATCTTTGAAAATGAAAAACCAACAACAACAATTCAAACCCAGGGTCAAGCACTAGTAAGTGTTTGAGGCTGAAATTGAGCTCAGACCTTCCTGAATCCAGACCTAGCACTCTATCCACTGACCTACCTAGCTGCCTCCTAGTAGTAATTAGAGAAATTCAGATAAAAAAAAACTTTGGGGTACCACCTTATACCCATCAGATTGAAGAAGATGGCAGAAAAGGAAAATGACAGGTTGGATGGGCTGTGGCAAAATAGGTATATTAATACTGTGTTGGTAGAACTGTGAACTTGTCTCACCATTTTGGAAAGCAAGGTGGAGCTAAACCCAAAAGGCGGTTTTAAGTGCATGCCCTTCAGTCTAGCAGTGCTGCTACTTGTTTTGCCCAAGGAGATCAAAAGCAAAACAAGAAGACCCTATATGTATAAAAACATTTTTACCAGCTCTTTCTGTGATGGCAAAGAATTAGTAACTGAGGAGATACCCATAAATTGGGAAATCGCTGAACAAATTATGATGTGTGAATGTGATGGAATACTATTATGGTGTAAGAAATGATGAAGGGGATGGATTCAGAAAAATTTGGGAAGACTTATAAGAACTGATTCAAAGTGAAGTGAGAAGAATCAGGTGAATAATTTACCCATTAACATCAATATTGTAAAGGTAGTCAACTGCAAAACTCTTAGTAACTGATCAGCACAATGACCTATCTCATTTCCAGATGACTCACTGAAAAATGCACTCTTCCTCCAGCATACAATTTGGAGATGTGTGTGTGTGTGTGTGTGTGTGTGTGTGTGTGTGATGTATATATGTATATGTATATGTGTATATGTGTGTATGTGTATATATGTGTGTATATGTGTATATGTATGTATATATACGTGTGTATATACACACGTGTATATACATACATACATATACACACACATATATATAAAACTGGTCTAGTCTGGAAATTTATTTTAAATGACTTCATATTTTAATGGGTTTTGTTATTTCTTGCCTTCTTGATGGATTGGTATGCGGGAGAGGAAGAGAATCAGGAACTGAAAATACAACTGAATGAAAATGAAGTGCTATATAATCTACTTCCCCCCCTATGGAGGGTGGGATACCTTGCATTTGGTGATGAATTCCCTATGTATGGTCATTGTTTTTTAGACAAGTCTCCCTTTTTCTTCCTTATTGCAATTTTAAAAAATCTTAAACATTTGTTCTTCAGAGATTCTTATTCCTTTTGGCATGATTTCACGTATTGGATTTTTTTTTTCATAAAAACTATCCTGTTTATGAACTGTTTGAGAGCTTATTACCCAAAAGCTAAGGTGTCTTTTAGGGTATTTCTGTCTTTTCTATTAGAAATTCAAAGATGGAACAATCATTTTCCCCCAAAGTTCCCATCATTTCTACCCCATATGTGTTTTATGTGTTTTTTCTTCGTGTTAATAAAAGTCTTATTCAGAATACAATTCTCTGCTCTCGAAATGGATCATGAAGACAAGTAAGGAAATCGCCAGTGCCTCTTCTTATGTTAGAGAGTATGAACTCCACCAGTAATTATTATATTATGCCTTTTTCCTCCATTCCTGTGATGTGTTTCTCAAATTAAACTTTTTTTTCCTGCTTACTTTTTATGCTGTATTCCAGGAAGCTAAGTCTTCCTCTCCCACCCCCCTTCCAAATAATCTTCCTAACCAAGCTGTTCACTTCCCAAATCTTGCTTTCAGACATCCTTTTCTTAGATTGGTAGCAGTGTACTCTTTTTCTCTTCACTTTCTTTAGTAAGACTGTAATTTTCTGTCATTCATTCTAGATTTCTTTTGGCAGTATCGTTGGTTCATTGGTACCTATGTAAATCTCCAGAAGTTATAGTGATTAGGTTTGATATGTCTTAGGTGTTTTTGTAATGTTCTGGATGCGTATACCTGGTTTAGAAAGAATTGGAAGTCGGTAAGTGGCACAGCAGATAGAGCACTAAACCTGGAGTAAGGAAGACCTGAATTAAAATCTAGCTTCAGACCCTTCTTAATTATGTGAACCTGAGCAAGTCATTTAACCTCCGTTTGTCATGAAATGGGTATAATAATAGCACCCACCTCTCAGGGTTGTTTTTAGGATTAAATGTGATATTTTCAAAGCACTTTGCAGGCTTTAGAGCACCATATAAATGCTATTAAGAAACAATGATGAAATAACTTTGAGGTATCATTTTACATCTGTCAGTTTGGCTAAAATGGTTGAAGAGGAAAGAGACAAATGTTGGAGAGGATGTGGAAAAATTGAGACACTAATTTATTGTTGGTGGAATTGTGAACTGATCCAACCATTTTGGAGAGAAATCTGGAAGTATGCCTAAAGAGTTATTAAATTGCCTATACCCTTTGACCCAGCAATACCACTCCTAGGTCTGTTTCCAAAGATGATTAGGGAAAAAGGAAAAGAACCTCTATGTTCTAAGTTATTTATAGCAGCTCTCTTTGTGGTGGCAAAGAACTGGAAATTGTGGAGATGTCTGGCAATTGGGGAATGGCTGAAGAAGTTGTGGTATATGATTGTGATGGAATGCTACTGTGCTATAAGAAATGAAGAGCTCAGTTATCTTAGAAAAACATGGATAGACTTGCACGAAATAATGAAGAGCGAAATGAGCAGAATGAAGAGAATGCTGTATGTATATAGTAACAACAATATTGTTTTAAGAACTTTGAGTAAGTCATTTTGACTGTTACAAATATTCAAATTAACTACAAAGTACATATGGAGGAAGACTATGTGTAACCCTAGAAAGAACTGATAAATAGAAGTATATATAGAATGATTTTATGTTTATATACATATACATATATGCAAATGAATATACACACATGCTTGTGTCTAATAGTAGCCATCTCTGGGTGGGGGAGGGAAAAAAGAAAAAAAAGAAATTTGCACATTAACTTTATTACATATTTAAAAGGGATGGCAGATTGTACATATTAAATTTGAAGTTTTGTTGAAATAATTTTTATTGTACTCTGTTGTGGAAATGCTTGCTTTATTCCATAAATAAAAAATAAAATAAATATTATTTTTGAGAAAATGGTGATAAATAATGTTATTATTATTATAAATATGTTGACTCTAAAAGTTGACTCAGTAACTACAATAAAATTGATAATTATTATAGTAATAATTGTTAATTTTCATGTAGTTGAGTCAGTAATTACTTTTTTTCATTATTATGAAATAATAGTGCTTAATAAATGCTTATTGATTGGCTTGCCTTGTTTTTAACAATTTCCTTTTCCTTTAGTCCTTCTCTTCTACTTCTGTTTTTCTTCTTCCTCATTCTTCATTTTCTGAAGGCCGCCCAAATTTTACACTCCTTAAATCAATCTCTCACCTATTCCTCAACTCCAAAACCCTCAAAACCTCCTTTACTATTCTTTATTCTTCTTCAATCATGATCTTTTACTGTGCCACCCCAGAGGCAAAAGTAGCAAGTTTTGCGCTGACTTGAATTTTTTTCTTACACATTAACATTAAGCTCCAACTATAATTGTGTAGAATATAATGTGCTTTATTGTCCATTTTTGTGCCTTCATTAAATTTTAAGAGAGCATTTCTCAAGGTTAGGACTTGTGATGCAGTGGGAAGTATACTGGAATTAGAATCACAGGAAATGGGTTCAAAGCCTTTTACTACTTGTGAGATCTTGGGCAAGTCCCTTATCCTCCCTGGACCTCATTTTCCTTATCTGTAACATGAGGACATTGGACTCAGTGGCTTCTGAATTGTATTTGAGCTCTATGTTCCTGTAGTTTTGGATTGGTAATTTTCATCTTGTAGGTTTATTCTTGCAGATTTATATGTGCATATAGACCTCAATTCAGCATTAGATGGATTTTTAAAAAGAGTTATTAATGATATTTAACACTTTTTTCAGGTGGTGATGGCAGTTGCTCAACTGTATTGGCATTTATCACCAAAATCTGAAGCTGGCATTATTTCAAAATCATTAGTACGTTTACTTCGTAGTAATAGGTGGGTCATGTTTTTTTCTGTCTTCCTGTTTCTTCAGAATTTGTGTTCAAGTAATTATTGTTTGTTTTTTCATTCAATATGTGAATTTGGATCTAGTTATTACAAAGGAATCTTTAGATACAAATTGATAATCACAAAAGTTTATCAAAACTAATGTCAGGTTTAGTTGTAAGTATTGATTTTTTTCCACCAGTAAGGGCTTAAAAATCTAGCACCTCGTTATTTTAAAACAAAGAAAAAAGAATTGTGGACAATTTTAAAGTGCACAATTCTGGAAATTAATTTTCTTTTCTCCATTCTTAAATTTAAAAAGTTTTATTGGTGGCTTTTTCTTTTATATTGCATTCATTTCTAAATATACCTCTGCCCCCATCACATACCCAGTGAGCCCTCTTTTATAGATTTTTTAAAATGTTCAGTAAAAACAACCTATCTGTCATATCTCACAGCATATGCATCTTTTATGTTTATAACCCCTATAAACTTTTCAGTGATAGGAGGGAAGCATATTTTCTTTTCTCTGGGGGCCAAACTTGTTTATTATAATTATATAACATCAAGTTCTATTCTTTCCATTCATATTATTCTGGTCATTGTATATATTGTTTTCTTGGCTCAGTTTACTTTTTCCTCATTACTTCAAGTCTTCCCATATTTCTCTGAATTCTTCAATACTTGCTTTTTTTTTAACTGCGCAATAATATTTTATCTCATTGATGTAACACAATTTATTTATTTGCAAATCTTTGGGAATCTAGTTGGGAAGTGTGTGACTTTTTTCAAATGTCACTTAATGTCAGATTGACTTACTTAATATATTGAGTTTCATTTTTTTTTTGGTGGCAAATAGTTAAAAAAAATTTCCTTAAAAATTTGATGTTTCCAAAAAAGCTTTTTAGTAGGCTATGCAAGGACATCTCTTTAAATATTAAATATATTTCTGATTTCCCTTACTTATCTCTTTAAATAGTGTCATTTTATTGAAAAATATGCCTAGTCAAAACTCTTCCTTTTATTTCTAGGGAGGTGCAGTACATTGTTCTACAGAATATAGCAACTATGTCAATTCAGAGAAAGGTATGCATATCACATACAGTTAGGAAAATGCCAAATGGATATGTCATTAATCTTCTTTTTTCCTTTAAAAACTTAGGGCATGTTTGAACCTTATCTGAAGAGCTTTTATGTTAGGTCAACTGATCCAACCATGATCAAGACACTGAAGGTATGTATTTTTCAATTTTCTAGATATTCTCTTATTGTTTGATGTATTAAAAAATGGATAAAACAAAGAAGCAAACACAAGATTCTAGACCTTGGAGGTTATAATCCTAATGTAAGAAACTTAACTGTATTTAAAACTTTCACACCACACAACCCCCCCCCCATACCCATACACACCCACACACACTCCCATGGTATATTCTAATTAGTATTTTTTCCTCATGCAACTTTTATACTAGTATGCTTCTTAGATTATCTGGGAACTGAATGTAGGTAAGGGAAAAGGGCCTGGAGAAACCATGCTTCTCGTTGATCAACAATAAGCCCTACTACTTTCTAGTGACTGCAGTAAACGATATCTACAAGGCATATGTGGTATTAACTATTATTTAGATTCTTTAGCTCTCTCCTCTTCCCTGTCCCTCCCAACCCCCCCCAAAAAAAACTGGTTATTGCGCCCTGGGATTTTCTGCATATAATACTTTTTGGTAGATGTAATGCTTAGTAACGGTAAATCCCATTTATGTAGTATTTTCTTCACTATTATTGTTCCCATTTTACATTTGATGAAACTGAGACTAGGAAATGAGTTGTGTAGCTAATAGTGTTAGAGCCATAGTTCACATAGTCTGAATCTTGCTTCTCCATGTCCAGTATTCTTTCCACTAAATCCTGTTGTGTACAGATGCTATGAACAGAGATATATATATGAGAAATGAATGGAAGCTTATATCTTGTTAGGTTTTTTCTGTAAACATTTAGCTATAAAAATCTGATATGATTTGTACATTTCTTCCATAGAGAAATGTATATTCCTTTAAATGTTTCATATAAAGTAAAATATAAAAGAAATATATAGAAGTGTATATGTGAGTATGAGACCTTTAGTTCTATTCTCACTGTATAAGACCTTTTAAAATTATGGCTTAGTTTACTCTAGATTTCCCTGTAGTGCTAAATACTAACTTTTCAATTCGCCCATAATTTCTTTTTTATATTAAGGGTACATACCATCCTTCCAGAAGGGCTAATGCCTAGTAAACAGTAATTTAATTTGAAAAATTAATGCTAGACATCTCTCTCCTTTAGACTTTAGAATCTCAATTTTGAAGGGACCGTATATATTATCTGTACATGGGGTTTCTGATCCTCTTTGTGTCGTGGACCCATTTGGTAGACTGGTAAAAGCCAGTGCAGCCCTTCTCAGAATGATCTTTTAAAATTTATATAGGTTTACAAAGGAAGCCAGTTTTATTGAAATTACGATTTCACTTTTTTTTTTTTTAAGTTCACATGTCATAAGTTAAGAACTCCTGATCTTGACTGACCCACTCCTGAATAGGTCTCTTCTCTATCCTTCTTAAAGACCTACTTCCCAAGACAACCTGTTCAACATTTGGACAGCTTTAATTCTTGGGAAGTTTTACCTTATTTGGTGCCAAAATGAGTTCCTTTGAATATTTTACCCAGTATTCCTAGTACTGACCCCCTGGGGCCAACCTGACCTAGCCTAATACATATTACTCTTTCCCCCTCCTCTCTTTCTATCCCTTTCCTAAAGTCTTTCCTTCTTTAAACATCCCAGATTCCTTCGGCTAGTTTTCCTGTGGCTTAATCTTTAGTCACTTCACCATCCTGATGTTCCTCCCCTCGTTGTCCCTACTGTCACTAAAATATGGTCGTTAAAAGTAAATATTACTGGGAGTATCACATCTGTAGGCTTGGATACTATGCCTTTTTTAATACAAATGAAGACTTTATTAGATATTTTGGCTGCCATATCACACTGTTGATTTATTGAGTTCACAGTAAGTACCCACAGCTTCATGAGGCTATGTGTGGCCTTTATAAAGTCTGGCAGATTTTTTTTTTAAAGGTCTATGTGGGCAGGTGCTAGCCTGATCAGAATTAAGCATCCCTTTTATCCTTTAAAATTGTATTTTCATTACATGCCTATATTTCTCTTCCTTTTTTCTCCTGAGAGTCAGTAGGGTGTGGTCAATAGAATGGCTTACTTGGAGGTATCAAGACTTGACTTTGAGTCTTGCTTTTAACATTTGTGTAGTATTATGACTATGGACAAGTACTTTAACCTTTTGAGCCTCAGTTTCCTAAACTGTAAAAATAGGTTTTTACGGTATCGTTATTAACTGACTTAGGGTTGTGAGGCTTACGTGTGATATTATATGCAAAGCACTTTGAGAATGTTAAAATGCTATATAAATGTCATCCATTATAATTACTATTCTGGGCAAGAACAGAAATCTTGGAAACAAAATAACAGTGCATATCTCTAGCTCTGGACCAGTCCTAGTTTTTTTCTCAGGAGTAAGAGTTATTCAGTCTCTAACTTATAGTTAGTAGTTCCTATTTTCTCTGTCAACTACTTTCTCACCTTTTCTTCTTTACTGAGTAAATTTATTGACATTGAATAAATCTCTGTAGTGTGGTAGATCCACTAGCAATTTTAATTGTTCTGTTTGATAGTTTACCATAGACCACTGGTTATCTAACAAACCTTTTTTCCCCCTTTCCAAAATAATAATTTAGTAGAGCACCTATTACTAAATAGCATAAAAATGCTTTATGTTGTGAATGAATTGAAAGGTGAAAATTATCTTTTTTTTTATAGTCAGATATTTAATTTTATACTTAAACACCAAATAAAATGAGAATTTCCATATGTAGAGTAGGACAAAGAGAGGGATCACACATAAAACTGAATCTCTGTAATACACAGCTTTCCTTTTAGGTATATAAATCAATTCAGCATGTAGCTTCCTGTCTTTTTTGCCTGTGTTTCCGTCTGGTCTTCCTTCTGATCATTTCTGTGCATTTAAACATAGATTAGTGATCTTTTCTTTTCCTTTCTTTTTTGGGGTCAACCCAGTCCCTATGATGAGGTTGTAACCTCCTCTTCTCTCACCTTTGAAGAAAAAGAAAAATAAAATTTCAATGACAAATATGTGTAATCAATCAAAACAAGAAAATGAAAATCCTTAAAGATAATATTAATGAACTATGGCAAAAAAAATTCAGGGACACAGATGAGACTTAAATCATACAACATCTCTATAGAAATTTGGTATTGTTAATTCTGATAGAAGCAAAATTGCTACAGAACTATTATTTTAATCCACATTTATAATATAGTTGAAGTTAACTTTGCTTTTCATTTATGACATTTGTTATTTAGACATCTTAATTTTCACTGAGAAGAGTTCTAAGATTTTAGACAAATATAGGAAATTTCTCTTTGTATTACTTAATGTAAAAACTTAGTATATGACCAGGACTTCCCACTAACTTAGAAGCCCAGGTATTAATACTTGAAACGAGTGAAGAAAGTGACTCCTAAGAAGATGACTAGGACAGGTAAACTGAATAAAGATCCAGTAAGTCTCAAATGGACTGGATTTCTCTAGACTGAATCAACAAAAAAATCTATGTAAAACTAGTTCTATTAGGGAAGGGTTGACAAAAACCAAATTTAGCAGCCCTGATTCTTGTATTAGTTGTAAAAATCCTTTTCCAAGGTCATGACCCTTTAAATTGTTCATGCTGTATATTTTTTGTTATAGCTTGAGATATTGACAAATTTGGCAAATGAAGCCAACATATCAACTCTCCTTCGAGAATTTCAGGTTTGTATACAGAACTCTTATACTCCAATACTATACTTTGATAAAATGTAATCTTCTCTAGAGCAGAGATTGTTTCATTATTTTTATCTTTGCCTGTATCATATTAAAAGTAAAATACATGCCTGTTGCTTGACTTGATATCGAGGAAACTTGTTTATTTCCATTTGAGTGTCTTTGTCAAATTTTAAGTATTTATATAAATAAAATGCAGAGTGATAACTATGAAGTCACCATTTTCAATTAAAAATTATTAACCAGAATGTAACATAATAGAAAAGGGAATCATAAAGTAATATCCTCATAGATTTGGATAAACTATGGAACAGTCTTCATTTTAAAAATTATACTGCGAAGGTTGATTTTCAACAGGTGTGACTGGAAAATATTGGTACCTAAGGGTCTTATTTGCTTTTTGCACCCTTAAAAAGTGTCCAGTTTGTGGCTGTAGTTACTACATGCAAAGCCTGCCCTCTTTGATACTCTGCTGTTTTTCAAGTCAGTGTTTCAGCCAAGAATCTCACCCCCTAAAAAACAGTGATTTCCTTCATGTTTGACCTGTTTTATTTGGATTTGTTTCTCAGAAGTCTGTAACTATGCCATGTTGAAGTAGAGTTTTCATTGTTTCCCTATAATACTTATCCTTCTTACTTGTAGTTCTTTCTTCATCTAATAATATGTAACTTGTTTCTATAGCTTGTTTGCATCTTTTCTTCATGTATATTCAATTGAATTGTGTTGAAATTAGATATGAACTCCTCGAGGACAGGCAGGTCTTTTGGCTCTTTTAAACAGCTCAACACTTAGCTTGTGCCAGTGTTTTTGCAGTGCTGGGCTGTTATGTCTTGGTGTGGCTGTCTTGCCATTTAATGCTCAGGATATTCTGTAAAGTCTCTTTTGAAAGTAGATTCTATTTTTATGTTACTTTTATCATGTTTCTAGTTAAATCAATAGGTATATTTGTATACTGTTTGTATGTGGAGGCATGCATATAGGACTATTGTGTTGATTTCCACTTTCACTTTTGGACTGCCTTTCAGATTAATTTATTTGTCTTAAGTCTTCCTTTATATTTTTCTTCCCTTTTTTTCTTTAAGCAGCATTGAAAAAATTATTTTCCTCCTTGTTTTTCTATAATATTCATAAACTAAAAACAATTCACTTTACAGTAAAGGAAAATTTTAATTATTTCTAATTTTGCAGCCCCTAAATTATCTGGAATGTTAAAACAGAATATTTATACATTTTGGCATACTTAATAAAATCATACTTTATCTGTTTAAAACTAGAAGACTGAATAAAAATTTAATATACATAAGTAAAAAAGCTCATTCAAATTTGAAAGGATTTTAGATTCCACCATGTTCTATTTGTAAGATGTCAATTTTTAAAAACTTTTTTTGCAAGATGTTAATTTTAAAACTGTTAAATATAATTTGTGTCATGTGTATATTTTAAATTGCTTTCAGAACTTGATAAATACTTTTTCTTAAATATGTAACCTTGACATATTGGCAAAGTTTTTGTGTGTTTGTCATTTTCTATTATCACCATCCTTTTTTTCTTTAACTTTTACATTTACTGTTGTCTGTTCTGTTTGTCTGAAAATCTGAGGAAAGTTATTATGAAACAAATCCTTACTGAAGGTTAAGTAGTGTTTTATGCGTATTGTGAATTGATTGTGCTGAAGATCATCATAATAATGCTGACAGATTTCTTCTATGTCACTTATTTTATTTCCCTTCCTATATCTTGAAAATAAAATATGTGCCATCAGGCTATATTATTTCCCTTTTGCTTTTTCCTGTTCCTTTCAACCCCCCAATTCTTTGATTTGGTCTCCTGGAAAAAAAAATCGTTCTTTGAGGCAAGTAGGTCGGTTATTCATAGATTCACAGATGCTGCTGGTTAAATGGACTGAAACCTCCCTGAAGAGAGAGTTCTCATCAACTCCTTCAACCTTGCACTCAGACTAATTGCTGTCTTTGGGTGACTGCCCCCTACTATCTCTTGGGCAGTCAGAAACCACTGTGGCCACAGGTGACTGGAGCCGGCATAAGATCACATTCTTTAAATGAAAATCCAAAAACCCAAGGCATAGATAAGATATTAGTGTAACTTTGTTGCTTTGTATATTATGTATTTTTAGAAGGCATATCTGTTTGATAAATGTTATAGTTTTTTCTTGATAAGATCATAATGCATAGGTAATGAATAAATTTGTCATGATTTTTCATTTAGTAAGACTGATAGCTAATGGAACTACTGTTTTCTTTAGACCTATGTGAAAAGTCAAGATAAACAGTTTGCTGCAGCTACTATCCAGGCTATAGGCAGATGTGCAACCAACATTTCAGAAGTAACCGATACATGCCTTAATGGCCTGGTGTGTTTGCTGTCCAACAGGGATGGTAAGGCAGCTTCTATTTTGTTAAAAGTACTTAATAGTTTGAACCTTATTGGATGGTAATAGCACAATTAGGACTGTCATATATTGTGGTTTCTATGGTTTTGAAACACTTGTGATAAAAGCAATGTAGCATAGCAGTTGTATCAAGTACTGTTTGAGCCTTAAAGCATTTTTGTCTTTTTTTAAAATTATATTTAATTTGGAAATGGTGGTAAACATATCTTTTTATTACTATCTACAAGTGATCATGCAGTTTTATTTCTTGTACCTCTTAAAAATGTACTCCCTCTGAGGTACCTTTTCACAAGAAATTTTTTTCCTTCATTCTAATGGGTTATGAATGTTGTATAATAACTGTTCACCTGCAGAGGGTGCTGAAAGCAGGCGAATGCATTTTTTAAAAAAATGTAGAATTGATGAGATTAAAAATTATGATCAGTATTTTAAGTTAAACCCTTCAAAGTTGGTTTGATTCTTAAAGCAATTTTGCATTTTAATTAAATTAGAATTACAAGTCATTAGGTTGCAAAATTTAGTTGGATATAAGCAAAGCAAAATGTAAAAATATTGGCAGTATAGGTAGTTAAAAATCCATTAAAATTATCTAGTCAGTTTTTGGTGTTATATTCAAACTTTAAGATGTCTTCAATTTTTAGGGATGTGACAGCAGAGTAAATAGTTACTTTTAGAAATAAAAGGGAAAAAACTACTAGCTAAAGAAATTTTTATGACAATTTCCTTTGAGAAAATTTTTATTAATAATATTTGTATTTGAAATAGATTCTGCTTAGTGAAAATATTGTTCTGTAGGCAAAATATAGTGGAATTATTTATGAAATTATGAATATTGAAGATATTTGTATACATATATACTACCTATGTATACTTGTATAATTTAAATGTAATACCCATCAGGCTGAAAATTTTATACATTGAAATATTTTTTGTAATTTTTCTAATGAGAAGATTGCCATGTTAATAGCTCAGTTTTGCAAACAGCCTTTTCCTCATAAAAGTCTTTATAAATATGTAAAATAATTTATTTTAACTATTCCAGAGCAAAAATATAGAAATGAAATTTAACTTCAGAGTGCTTTTATGTATTCATTTAATGCGAATAGAAACTTACAGAAATTCAACATAGAAAGGTTAAAAAATGTAATAAAATTTAATCTTTTTCTAAATGGGTTAAGATTTTTTTTAACTTTTCCATTTAGTAAAAATATTATTTACTGTGTTGTAGTTCACATTGTACTTGCCTCAATTCCCATTATATTTTCACTTAGTCTTGTGATTCAACATTTTAAACAACTCAAACTTTTTTGTAAAAACTTTCTTGACTAACTTAAAAATAATCAAGGTTGCATTATTTTAAAGTAAGAACTGTTTACCAAATCTAATTGTTTATATTGTCAGTACATTTAGTCATTATTGAGTTCAGATGTGACCACAGATATTAGACTGTGCACTTCTTAGGAAATATTTTTTCACATAAATATTATCTGCATTTTGTTATTTTGAAGAACTTTAGTTTACTTCAACATTTATGTGAACCCAAAATGTCAAGAATACTTAGTGTTAGGTTTCATCTTTCCACATTGTTTACCATATGTGTGGCTATTTAATTCACAGAAAGACAAAATTAGATTGGTGTTTTGAACAAGTAGAGTGTGCCTTGTACCCCAAGTAAGTCAGACCTATCATCCTAGTATGTCAAGGTCTCTAGGAGTGCTTGTCTTGTTGTTCTCTAATTCAAATTATGCAGCTTCTATTTTTAAATTATTGTTACTCTTTATAAATGCATAAAATTGAATTATTTATAATTAGTCTTTACAAATTCTTTGTTAGCTAGAGGTGCGTTATCTTGTTTTTTCTTCTGCATCCATATAGTATTTTATGATTCAACTTTTAAGAAATATACATATGTCTGTATCTGTAGCTAAATCTGCATCTTCATTTATATCTACATCTGCATTGTTACATACATATCTAAAGATTTGACCTTTTTTAAAGTTAATTTATTTTCACATGATATGCTTTTAGGAAGAGATGAGATTTTATCATTTCTATCTTTAATACAGGAATTATTGCTTTCATTTGGCAAAATTAAATACTGACTTTGGGAAATTATCCAAAATATTAACAGTTATGAAAAAAACTTATTAGGTTAGCTTTTCTTTAAAAATTGAATTAAATGCTCAAAATTTATCTTGCCCTAATTTTGACCCTTTATATAAGTATTCTATGTATTAGGATGAATATAAAAGCCAGCCTCTTATAAGAGTTGTATAATGAATGCTAAAGCTCAGGTTCTGGAGAAGAAAGCTAAGGATAACAAAAGGGTCTAAGCTCTATTATGGGAAAAAAGATGATCAAGGAAGGCCTCGAACCACTATTAGTGCTTTTATATTGAATTGTATTAACTAGCTTTAATAAGCCACTTAATTTAGCAACCTTAGCTCTGTGTAACTTTTGACTATTTCCAAAAATCAAATCTTCCATCAAAAAACTGAAAATTTTTCACTGTTAAGGTTATTCAGAATAATGTGATGTAAGCTCTCAAGGCACTTCCAAAACTGTTGTGGGCAGTGGTACCTTCTTGAAATTAGATATAACCTTTTCAGGTCACTTCTTTGACTTGGACAGCATTTTCATATGAGTTTTTAAAATCCCATTACTTTTTCATGACACCTCCTAGATATCCTAGAAACATTATTATTTCAAGAAATCTGCTTTGTGGATTTTTTAGGGGAGATTTCTGTACCTCCTTTCATCCCTAGGTGATACTTGGTGAATCACTGGTCTGCAGTAAGAATGGTTGGTTGGCTGCAGATTCACAGGTTATGTTTTTCATGTTAACAAATTTGTTATTCTATAAATGTTTATTCAAGTAGCTACTATGTGAAGTGTAGTGTTATGTGACATCCCTGCCCTGAAGAAGTTTAAAATCTTTTAAGGGATATAAAATTCATTAATTTTTGAAAAACATTTTACATGCACAAGCAAATATGTGATAAATTGCTAAATCTGTGATAAACTAAAGTTCACTGTAAATTCAAAGAAGAAAGAAGTCAGTGATCCAAGAAGGCTTCATGGAAGAAGTGGTGTTTCAAATAGACCTTCAGAGGGTTGCGGAGTAGGTTACGATGTAATATGCAAGATGATTTTATCCACCCTCTTGAAACTGTTCCTCTAGATAGCTTTATTTCCTGTAAGTTGCTGTGCTTATGTAGCTTCTATCCATACATTTCTAGGAAATTCTTTCCTTATTGTGACTGTAGGCCTTGTTACCTACCCTACTAAAAACCTTTTTTGCTTCTCTATCATTTTCATGGCTTATGAAGAATTTCCTGGGGCACGTCCTTCCCTAGCATGCCAATTATGTACTCCCTTATTCATTCAAAGTCCATTACAATTTCATAAGACCTGAAAGTTTTGCTTTTCAGTACTATAGAGTTGGCTTTTCTTAGGCATGGATAATTGGTATTATTGTCCTACATGGTGTATTATTGCAGATCTGTCCCTCCTTTTGTACCTTCTAAATACTTACATTCTGGAAACTTCATTTTCCTTGGCCAGTTGAATAGGATTTTAAAGTCAATCAGTGAGCAATGATCAAAGGAAATCAAGTTTGTTAAAATTTTATGCTCCCTTTTCAGTTATAAATGAAAGCTACTAGTATATAGCCTAAGAGGTAGCATAGAATAGCAGCTTTAGGATAAAAGGACCAAGGTTCAGACTCCACTGCCCATGTGACCTGGATCAAGTCTCTTGAGCAGTAGTTCAGTTTCTCCGATTGTCAAGTGAGAGAGTTGGGCTGGTTGATCTCTTGATCTCAAACAACTCTAATCCTGTGACTCTATGAGTATATGTTGCTTTCTTTTAGGGGTAGAATTGAATCAGGGGGATACTAATCTGGACTTAAATTCACCTCACAAAGGAAAACTCTTGAGTTGAAAGTGAGAAGACACTTGAGAAAAAGGGAATGTGTCATTTTGGATAGAGTTCATAATAGCAAAGGAAAAGAATCCTTAGTGTAGTTAATCTTTCATGAAACAGATTTTGAAAAGTCAGAGAAAGCATACCTGTGGTTCAGTGGTCAAAGGTCCTAACAAGAAGACTATTCAAGAGATGGAAGGCATCTGAAATGAAATTCTGCCTGCATAATCAAAATTGCTCCTATTAAGAAAAAAGAAGGGAAAATATCACATAATTGCTTGTAATGTAAAGCAAAAAGGATAGCAAATGTCATTGATTAGAGACTAAAGATTTAAAAAAAATTCATGACTGGCTGATTGTTTAAGAAAAATAAAATAATGAAATAGACTGGCAATCAGAATTTTGTGATGCTAGGATTATGTAAGCAGAAGATAAATAGGCATTTGGGAATCTTGTGTATTCTTACATAGGGTCAGAGTTTGAATTAGATGACTTTTACATCTGTTCTTACTCTTAATTCTAAGATTGTGTTGCTTTAGCATCAGCCTTATTTGTAATTTGACTTTCTGTTGCTTTTCTTTATAGTATGAATTTACTCCTGCCAAGCAGTTTGCATCTGCATTTGCATCTGTTATGTTCAGCTTCAAAAACTGCATATTTCATTCAAGTGATTACTACCTGTTACAGAATAAGCACCGAAATGCATGATTTATAAGTCTTAGAACAGCTTGCCTATTTAAAATTCTCATTAAAATGTGCAGGAGAATGTATTACTGAACCAGCAGATAATCTCTAAATCTTAAAAAAAAAAAGGAAGAGGAGCAAAAGAAATACAAAATCAGTGTCTTAATCTTTTAACAGAAATAGCTATATATACATCATTGTTAAAGTAGATTTGTCAGTTCCTATACTTGTCATGGCCAAAGTTTCTATTCTTTTTATTTAATGGCTAAGGTAACATTGTGGTGAGACATTGTCTGATTTTTAAGCCCTGCTACTAAAAACAATGTAACTGAAACCGGGAGTGGCTCATTAGGCCGGAGGTCTAGCAGCAGCTGCTTTCTTTGCTAGACTCTCTACCTTTGCTCTCATTGCCTCCCTTTACAGAGAGATAGGATGTTGGTATTTTAAGTGCTAAGGTCTCACAACTTTCCTAATATACCCCTGATTCCCCATCATCTCTTTAGTATTTTGAGAAAAACATCTTGCTGAAAAGCTGTTAGGATATTTAGGTCGTGTTTTTATTGATCCATATGAGATGTAGAATATTCTTTGTCAGCTTTGTCAGACAGTTAGAAGACATGCGTTTTTTTCCCTGGCTTTCCTCCTTCAAAGCTCTGTGGCTTTGGATAAGTACCTGAATCAGGTACTTAATCTATTCAGTAGAGAAGGTGGGTGGCCAATGGTGAATTTCCTTCCCAAGCAGGATTGTGAGCATTAAATGAGGCAATGTATGTGAAAGGTTTTGGAAACTGAAGGGCTACACAGAGGTATGGTAACAGTTGTACGAGGTTGATGAGGAGAACCAAGTTCTGTGCCGAGAATTTGAGCTGTGCCAACTGACCACCTCAGTTAGCCTCTCTTCCCTATGGTATTAGGGGATAGAGAAAGAGCACCAGTAGTAGAAAGGTACAGCTGGGCAAGAGGCAATGGAAACTGCATTCACTTACTTGTGGTAAGCACTAAACCTAAGGTTTTTACAGCACGCTCGTATTACCACATAGTCTTTTAAAAGCTTGGAGCGTTTTGTTATAGCTAGTTTATATTATGAACAAGAATACATGACTACACAAAGTTTTCAATGTGAGAGAATTCCTGCCGCCATAGTATTTGCTTCTACCAAACCATATTGCAACCCATCTGTGACTTATTTAAGTGACTTGCTTAGAGTTGCACAATTTCATAATTGTTATTGGTGAGATATGAACCTTGCTCTTCCTGACATCAAGAGCAGTGCTTTTCACTATGATACATTGCTGCTTGATTAATAAACATATGGTAAATTAACTTAACCATATGGTAATTTAAGATGTTTATTTTGTGTCTTTATCAGAAATAGTAGTTGCGGAAAGTGTGGTCGTCATTAAGAAATTGCTACAAATGCAGCCAGCACAGCATGGTGAGATTATCAGACACATGGCCAAGCTCTTGGACAGTATTACTGTGAGTAACTATAACTTTATATGTACATTTTCAAAGTAGATCTTTTCTTTTTGAGAAGCAAGGTTGTAGTTAGATGAAATAATGATTTGTCACCTGTAAGAAATGAAGATAAACAAGTCAGTAGTAGTCCATTCCAGTAGCTAGTAAGCTGAAATTTCTTTGCCCTCATTGCCAATATTATCAAATTGTCCTTAACTGAAAGTTTCACATACCACAGCAAATATGGCTTCTGGGTTAGGGCCCGCTTCTCCCTTGTCATGGCCCTAAAGATTTCTCTGCTGATAATCACTAATGATTCCATCAGAAGACAAACTGGAAGTACTAATAGGAAAACTCAAATTGTCTTCAAGTATATCCTCATGGATGATAATGGACCAAAAGCTGTGGTTATAGTAATATTGATAATCATTCTCATGTGGCTTTTAGACTTAGATCTGTACCAGACATTATATTGGACTTATTGAAAAGTTTCATCAGTAAATGAGCCCTTCTTAAATGGCAAGACTGTTTCAACAGTGTTCAGGTCTTGTAAACATGTTCAGCCTATTAGCTTTGAAGACTGGTTTTTGAAATTTAGTTTTGCTGGGTTGGATAAGGGGAGTGACTGAGTGAAAACAGCCTTCCCCAGTAGTTTGTTGATTGTAAGTTGAAGGGGGAGGGGGTAGTTGTAATTATAAAAGAAAACAATTAAACAGAACTATGAACTACCTGGAGATGACATCAGTAGACAGGCCACTCTAGCATGCCTAGGCAAAAGCATAGCAGTTCATTTAGTTGGAAACATTAAGCAAAATATGACTTACATGAAAAATACTTAACCTTTTTTTTTGTGTCAGAGACCACAAAGACTATGGAACTCTTCTCAGAATATTGTTTTTAAATGCATGAAATAAAATACATAGAAATGCAAAGGAGAGATTATTTATGCTAAAATAAAATATTTTTTAAAACAAATTCTGGGACCCCAGGTTATGAACCCCTGATTTAGAGTCAAGCACAAGCAGCCCTAACTCTCCAAATAATTATCACAAATCCAAATCTAAGAATTGTAATCATTATGTATGAATGCATTGGAAGACCACTTTGTGTATTGGCCTTGTCATCTGTCCCAGTAGATATAAATAGTTGACCTCCCTCAATAGTGTCACCTTCCAACATGAAGGACAGTGATAAAGGATAATAATTACTACTAGCCACATTGGAACCACCTTCATAGGACTGTGCTTGATAATCCAAATCAGATTCCTAACAATTTATGAATTTGAATTCTGACTGCCAAGGACATCTTTTTGTGATTAATGATTGGTTTTAAAAAAGGCTCTCTCTAGCATTTACATTATCATTGCAACAGCGAAATAGCAATATCAAGTCCAGTTTGTTTTTTTCCTGAAAAGACTATAGACAAAATTATTTTTTTTTCTGTATAGCTTTATAGGTGCACTTAAGTATGTCTTCTCCTTATTCTCATCAAGTGTGTTACAGATAGATGTGATTTGTTGCTTAGCATAGGTCAGTGAAGGCCCCTAAGTTCTTATAAAATATCCTTATTGAAGCCTGCAAAAATTTTTGCTTGCTAAATTTTAGTAGGCCTTTCCTATTAGTGTTGCAAAATAATGCATTTGTTCTAAGTGAGCAACAGTAGCCCACAAAAGTAGCCTGTTAATGATCTGGGTCATGTTATCTTTTATTAATAAGTTTTTTATACTGTCCTTTACTATATTATAAGCAATATTTCTTGTATTTTGCATTGCAGAAATATCATTAGAACATACTTGGCATGCCTTGTAGAAGTTACATTATTTAAGTTTAGTGTACTATGTATATTCTGGTTTGAATTGCTTTACAAGTTTAGCAGAATTTCAGCTTTATGAATAGGCATATGAAAGTATATAGAAAGAATAATTTCTTTTGTTTATAGTAGTTACTTAGTTCTGAATTATAGTTTAGTGATTATACTCATAAATGAGCTGAACATTGTAGAAGAGATGACATTAGCTATGTCTTATGAATAGTACTCAGAATGGTTTTTTTTGTTTAGAAAAAAAAACTGTCTTGTTTTGAAAGCTGAAATTTGATAAAACCTTATGAAAGTTGGACCTAACTGATATGAGAACAATGGCTTCCTACTGATTGATGAGTAAATTCCAAGCTCCTTTGTCTTGTAGTAGGGGCCCTCTACATTCTGGTGCATTAGTCCAGCTGACAGGGCACCAGTCTCTTCTCTTGGAACTAGTTGAGTTAGGGCCACTCACGTCAGCATTTGGAATCAGAACTCTTTTTGAGAGTTCCTAGGAATGTAAAAATGAGGAAATATGATCATTTTCTCCCGTACTTTTAAATTCCTACATTTGGTGGCAAAGATCTCTTGAAGTGATTGATTATGTGATAAATGAACATTCACATTAAGGAGGTAAAAAAAAGGAAAATTCCTACATATAAGACTCATGGGTACAAATGAAAATCAAAGGTTCTTTTGTATAATAAGGCCTTAGGAGGGCTGCAGTCAAGACGTAGGACTGCAGTCCTCCAAATCTGTGCAGATATAGAGGTAATGATCTCTTAAAACAATTTCCCAGGGAAAATCCTATCTTTGACATGGCTGAGGAATATAAAGAACAAAAGTTCCAAAGTTTGTGTCCAAATTTCTGCTTTAATTGTTAATTCTCCTGAACCAGTTTCTAGGTTCCATAAGCAGATTTGCTGAATAGATTAACATAACTTGGGTCCATTTGTTGAATTCTGTATATCTTGAAGTGTCTTACTGTTATGAACTGAGCCATCAGGCAGTTGCTCAGAGCTAAAAGTCCTGATATGCTTGGTCCCAAGCTACTTTTCCCTGCCTTATTTTTTACTACTTTCCTATATTCTCTAACTTACCTAATCAGTGGTTTTTAAAGTGGAAGATTCAAGGCAATTCATGGTGATGTGAGAAGAAAATATCAGGTGCTCTGATGCTATACTTGTGTGGCCCATGTGTCCATGTGGTACAGTACATGTCATGTAAAGTACACAGGGAATATTGAAGGAAGAAGTGGAGTTCCACAACACATGGGGGTTGACAGAGATGATCTCATTTATTTGTATTGCATATCAGTGTATTTAGTTTATATATGTCCAGGTAAGTAGATTTATTATTTATTTTATTTAGTTGTAGTGAAACCAATACTCACAAAGTAAGAAAAGTAACTTAAACAGATTTCCTTTGAACAAACAACAGTTTGAAGACACTACTAATAATATGAGCATAAGTAAACAACCAGAAAATGGCAGAGCTGAATTTTGTCTTGCTTGTGGCATGAGCTCATTATCAGCCACATTACTGGGTAAAAATATCACCATCTAATCAGATGTGACAAGAAGTTGGCCAAAAAGATTTGGAATTGTCATAAAGATTAGGTGAAATGCAGATTTACATCCACTGTTGTTAATAATGAACTTCACCCTGTGTATGTTGTACCTTGGGATGTTAGATAATTAGTAAGACATTTACAAACTAAGCTCTTGTTGCAGAAATCAGTGTGTTCTGTTTATTAAAAATACTATCTACACGCTTAACATAGAAACTGAATTTTCTAACCTGTTTAAATGTCTGCCAAATAGAGTTTCAGCAGGTTTGGACCCCATTTTTTAAGAATGTAAAAATATTACACCTTTGGATTTGTTTGGAAGAAAAACTGACGTCAGTGATGGACATTTTATTAGCTGAATTTCAACAAAAACTCTTCTGACTGGATGGGATTAAAAAATGAATATCATGATTTAGTAAGAACAATGAGGCACTTCTTCCAGTAGATCTATGTATTTTTGTGACATCTTTTCTTATTTATGACATCTATCAAAACCAAGTATTGAAGGAAGCTGAACTTAGAACTAGGTTTTTGAACATCTGTAGCCAAAGCATTAAACCAAGTATTTCAAAAATAACAATGCTTGTTCAATCACTTAATTTTAGTAAGAGCAAAATTTTTGTGGAAATAAAATTTTTTAATGTAAAAATATTTAATTCATCTTTATCTGCTTTTAGAAAATTTTTGTTTTTATAATTCACATGGTATACAGTATGTACATTCATATGAATTATAACTGATATTTTGAGGAATATACTCAGACATTTTTACTGGTAGGGATACATGATGGAAAATGTTTGGAGATCACAGATCTAATTATTCCCTGAATACCTCTTAGTCTTTTCTCATTTTTTCCTCTCTTCCTCTCAGTTAAATGCCTACTATGTGTGAGCACCAGGAAGACAAAAACAAAAGCAAAACATCTTATGCCTTTAAGCTGCAAGTACATTGCCTTGAAAGCCTTATTGTGCTACCTCCCTGTTAATACTCTCTAACACTTGTAGGCTTTCAGAATTGGAAGGCACTTCAGAAGTTATCTAGTTACAATTGTATTTTGTCAGGAATTACCTCTATAATATCCCCGAGAAAGTAATCATCTGGTCCAGGGCTTCTTAAACTTTTTCCACTCACGATCCCTTCAGCGCTTCTTAAACTGTGGGTCGCTACCTACGATTTAAGAAGTACTGAATTCTAATCTCCATTTGAAGACCTCCTGGTGATGAAGAAGTCACCATTTTGTCAGGCAGGGCATTCTTATTTTGGGCAACTGTCATAATTAGGGAAATTTTTCTTTACACTGAGTCACATTTACCCCACCAACTTTGAACTGTTGCTCCTAGATCTTCCTTCTGGGGCCATATATAATCTCTCTTCTGTATGACAGCCCTTTAAACAGGTAGAGCTATCATTCCCCTTGACTCTCTTTTACCTTCCAATTAATCATCTCAAGTTCCTTTAGTCAAATTTTGTAAGACTTGGTTTTGGTATTCCTCCACATTGGTTCTCTCATTCTCATTCCTCCTCTGGACATGCTCCATTTTGTCTGCTTTGCCCATAGACTAGTGCTGTTTTACACAAATGAATTATCATGACATCTAAAAGGTGGTTTTGAGAACTAACTCTAGTATTCCCAGTGTCTGACTAGGGCTGAGT